TATATAAGTATATATATATATATATATATATGTACATATTATGTAACTAAAGCATATCTACACCATTCGTGCATGGATCTTCAATTGTAGCATATATTGCAATCCCCCTATTCAGTGCCGATTATTTTATTTGTATTATGATCTTTGTTCTTGACTCCTACATGCCCTCGTATGTAGAGCACGAACCGGGGCTGTTCGTGATTCCTTGGCTGGGTTCCCGGGATTATCTGGCACGCTTTGTCTGGTGGTCACCGTAAACTTACTGATAGCTTGTGACGATGATAGAGATCGCCATCTCATCCCCCGAAGCAAAGTGTGTACTACATACTTATGAGCTATTATGGGATTGTTCGTTCTAGTCTTACCTTACATTTGCAAGGCACGATCTAATGCACCTACAGTACGCCCAATCACCTCAACCTACAGAACAAAAGCAAGGGTTTCCAAATGGTTGACTCTGACAAGAGAGCTCGCGAGTCCTCTACAGAACCCGGAACCACTACATGGCCTACGCAGCCCCCATGCCCATGCCCAGCAAGCGGTGGGACATCTATAGGCGATCAACTGAAGACTAGAGTTCGGTACCATTTTGATACCCGTATTTCGGATACAAAGGTACCTGAAGGTAGATCAGGTATGTATACAGCCCTGCATGGTCTTGCTGGTCCAACATCCCCCACGCCAGCGGTACGTGCTCGCATAACACTGTAGTCAGCAGAAGGCACTTGAGATGGGTACATCAATCCTGCCAATCATCGTAAACACCTGCAGGGAAACACAAGTCATCAAAAGTTAGTACTGTGCGGAAGCACGAGTCTCCGTCAATCATCATCTTCAACAACTGCCGTGAAAAGAATCATCACTCATGACAGAAGTCTGGCCAAGTGCGCATTACAACCGTGAGAACGGTGTAATACATGAGCGACAGCCCTGTATTCACAATCGCGCATCTCATGAGATACAAGTGTAGGCCAGGATGTAGCCCTTCTGAGGGGACGTCAAACACAAATAAATACCGCAACTTCTTATAACGATATTCCCACGCAAGTGCGAATATTCCCCACACGCTACCGTATTAGGGTTTAGGGTTTAGAATACATCCGGGCAAAGTTCACAACTTGGACAATAAATCCGAAATAGTGCTGACCAGGGTTAGCCGAGAGCTTACGGTACAGAGAATAAAACATGAGTGTAATTTGACTGACGCCCATACTGCCATAAAAAGATGTGCAGCCGATGGATCCAATGCACTGACTCATAGGCACGTATGCACCCACATCACACAGAACTACTATATATTATATAGAATCTATATATAAATGTTATACGACGGGTTGATTAGGACGCATTCCAGTCGAAGGGTTATGAGTACTCACCTAAGACCCACCCAAGACTGTATAGCCGAGATTGTGCAATGCCCGATAGTGATGCGTGAATTTCCGGAGGCAAGTCACGATACGGTTTGCCCCTAGCACAGAAATCTGGAAAGGATGTCCAAAAGATTGCCAATTATTTACATTGCATGTATCGAAAGAATCGCCAGACATCCCACCGATGCTGAACATCTTTTGATAAAAAGGTTAAAGAATAAACTGTTTACATGGTGCATGGGTACGAGTGCGGTTCCAAAAATGATTTATCTCTGCGCGTTTCGCGCTCGCACTCAACACAATCCTAAAATGTATATATTTGTAAATACAGATATATAAATGCGCAAAAATCCTCCCACAAATATCCATGCTCACGTCAGAAGTGAACTCACCATTTTGTAGAAGAGGGATCGTTTTGGCTGTGTCACCGTGCGTGGCGAGCTGTGGAGAAAGAAAAAAAGGTAAAAATTAACTGTCCATATCTGGGATTCAGGTGTGTGACAACAGATGAATAGGTCTCTAGTGCACACAGAACACCTTACCCCATACATGGGAGCTTGACATATCACCGATTTTTTGGTTATGATCTCAATCAGATACTGGATCGTTCGAATTGGTATTACACTGCTGCAGAACTCTTAGAAAAGCACCGGACACCACTGTTATATCATAGACTACATTCCAGCTCACCTACTAGCTCACTGACTCTTTCGAACGACCACAGCCCCGTATACTGTGTACGTACACACATCTACATTTATACACCGGTACATACAGCTTCCATGATATCCGGCAAATCTTCTACTGCCATAGGCACGTACTGCTCAGGTTGACCATCAATAGATTCCAGTTCGGTGGGTGAAGGAGGAGGGAGACCAACTGCGGCCTCTAACGCTGCTCGATGCGCTCGCCAGTGCCAAAGTTGCGCTGTTTCAAACATCTGCAGAGGCCAGGTACATTGGCCAGGTATGATGAAGTATAAAACGCATTCATAGGGGCTCAAATGTATATGGAAAAACGTCGTGCAGATGTGTGATTTTGTATAGCGAATATAAGAAGTTATGCAAATAGAAAATACAGGAACTACGAAAACAAAGTACAATTCTCTACGGAAAAAAATGATATAATCAATGAATTCTAGTGTTAGCCAAAGTAAAAGTGGAGAGCACGTGTTCATGCAATGGTGTCCATCGGGAACCTAACTTGAGCGTTTAATAATCACACATAGAAACCGAGCACAAGAAACGTCTCTGTATACCAGAGAAACTAGCCTACCAAGCGTACTGTTTCAGGTTCCGATCCCAAGAGTCCTGTGTAAAGATTAAATCTCACTTTCAAAGACTGTCAGGTGTAGGTAAACAGCCAGCGAACCCACGCCCATGAACTCTACAACAACCATAACAGACTAGATACCCACACGAGTGACAGAGCCGCAGTGCAACAGGTGTATAGTTGTTTGCCCGAGGACTCATAATTGTATCTGCACACAAAACCCAATATGTGAGTGCATAGAGTAGATCTACCTTACACCTGTCCATCAAGCACATTCACGCAGATGTATAGCATGTGTCTTCTCTAGTACAATACCTTCAGAACTTCTTGTTCGTCCCTTGTCTCTGTAGCAGTTTCCAGGAATTTGCTGTAGGTAGCTGGTGATCCTGGTGTCTGCGAAACGACCAGCCTATCAAAGTGTGCGTCAAATAAGTGTATGTCCAGGCGCGGCTGCTTCAGTGCCCACAGCAATGAACCTGCGCGGGCAAACATTGTGATAGCTAAGATAACATGGAATGCACTTAAGTTTTGATCAACAATGATACTGCTTAGGAAAGCACAAGAACTTTAATGTAGATGATAATGTTCGAAGATAATCAAATATATTAAGGTCAAGCCCTAAATTGGACTATGGGACAATTTTGGTGCCAGTAGACCTGCAACTCACCCATAGGCAACTCGACATGATTGTGGTCGCAATTGATACCATCAAGCAAAGTGCACGCGACACTTGAGAACACGGGTCATACACGTAGCCCATACGTGGAACACGCATGTAATGGAACCCACACAATAGCATCAATCAACCACGCACAACCCCAAGACCCGTTTTTGAGGTGCGGCATTGGTACCGAACTATAACAACTCGCACCTGAATGTGGTGAATGAGCTCGTCCCAATGCAGAAGCAGTTGCTAGAACCCAGCAACCAAATTGACTTTGTTAGCACGCACCACGTAGGTGTTTTCCACACTACAATTGCAAGGTATAGCAATGACAGAGACATGTCCAGATGCAAATGAAAGCGTGACCTCCCTACAAATGGGCGTGTGTACAAAGCACAGAACCAAACACAAATCTCGCTCTCAGCAAGAACACAGCCTGTTGGGCCTAGTAAAATACATGCCTAACGTCTCCCATTTCCGATCTTGTCTCTCTAAGTCTTTCTCTGTCCAACGCCCCGGTTTTCTAGTGAGTAATCTTTTTTCCTGCGTAACAGAAAACAAAGATGCAAATTTGATGAGACTCATAAACAATCCAGCCTCGACCTAGGGCAGGCATGCGATATCCACCAATTCTATTTGAACTTCCAATAATATTAATAAACCACTTATCAGTAAATAATACTAAATGTATATATGTACAAATTGTCATACTCCTGGATATTCATCACGTAGTGAAACTATGAAACCAGCCAGCCAAACAGAAATCAAATTCAAAACAGTGTAGGTCGCTCAGTTACCGAATATGTGAGATGAAAAAGATACGCCAATGTGAAAAAAACCAAGTTGCAAGTATAAGTACCTGACCAGTTCACAGCCGGTCAAAAACAAAGCACACGAACCAACATA